GCCCCCGAGCTCCGTCTCGGGGGTTTAGCGCAGCCTCGTCCAGGCGGCGGCACAGACGTTTGTTTTCTCCCCGAAGCCGCCAGCGCTGTGAAATAACGTGGACAAAGACCCATCGGGGCTCGAAACTGTCACAGTTTTGTGTTTATTGGTACGTGAACCGCAGCGCAGAAACGTGACCTTACGAGCGTAAGGAATTGGGGACAGTTTGCACCCAGGTGATCCGCAGAAAAAGCACATGCAACAAAACCCAATCAAAAAACCTTGATCTCGCCACCCCACTGTCAGACCCTTGTAGGCAGAGACAGGAATGAGGGGGAAGCTGGAGGCTCCGCCGGCCCCGCGCGCTGTGAGGCCGGAGCGTTCAACGGGCCACAGCGACCCCGGGCTGAAGCAGCAATGCCGAGGTGGCACGAACAGGCCTGCGGGTCCCCGAGTGTCACAGCATGGCTCCCCCGGGGTGCAACGGGCCTTGGCCTCGGGCGGCTGAGTTCTGGCGCTCCGCGAGGGTCAGGGACGGTGCGTGTCCACCTGCAGAAGGTTCCCGGTAACCCCTGCTACGCACAGGAACGCAAGAGCAGGAGCATTACTCTACTGACCTGAAACGCAGAAGGAAATTGGTCCCCAGAGACCGTGGGAAGCAAGAGAAGACCCAGGGATGAAAGTGCTGGCGAGGTCCCTCATCTTCCCGGGCACTCGCTCACAAGGTCCGAGACAGCCTGAGCCAGGGCCGAGCCTCCCTGTCAAAGGGAGCCCTGTCCCAAACCATTCCCTGCACGCTCACGGCCACCTCTGCTGGTGTTTGGCCAAGGACAAAGTGACAACAGGGAAAGCTCAGGTGCTGTAGGGACCTTGGCAAAAGGGCCCAAATGTAGCAGGAGTCATGATTGCACCCAGAACACCTGCAGCCAGGCAGCAGCCTCTGAAGAAGGCGCCTCACATGATGATCAGGGTGACTCTCCCTTTTTGTCCTTTCCTCCATGTTCTACTACTTTTTCAGAGGGCTCCATAAAACAGAGTTTAGGCTTGAGGTTAATTTGGAGTAAGCCCAAAGCTACAACACACCACACAGAAAATTACGTAAACTCATTGAATAGTTTTCTTGGTGAAGAGTTGCCCATCACACGATCCTTTTTATCTAGAAAGTACCAGTAGGAGCCACCTGCGCCGCAGGCAGGAGCAGCCCCCCAGCAGGAAGGCTGGAGCTGCCTGAGTGCTTCAGCCCTGTCGCAGAGGAGGGGCTGGAAGCGCTGAGCTCTGGGCCGTTCCCTGCACAGCTACACACACCCTTGTTGGCGTGGAGCACGTGAGCTTGGTGGTCTACCTCGGCCTCCTAGCAGCGACCTACTTCCCCTTTCCCTGCAGCAGAGACTGGACACACCTTCCTGTTTTTTTGCGTTTGAGAGGAGCCAGAGCCCCCCGGGCTGTCTCGGTGGGGCTGGGCCTCCCCGGGCAGCGGCGCAGCAGCAGCCCCGCCAGCCCTCACCACACACCCCCTTTGGTCCCAGCTTGAGCTCGCCAAAAGGAACGCAGCTGGTCCCAGCTCCTCTGCAAGGCCTCTGGTGAGTTTTTCCATCCCCCTGGGGCTCGGTTCCCAACTGTGGAGCAGAGATAAGCAGCTCAAGCGTGCTCTGCTCTGCGTGTATAGATTTGTGAGGGCTTTGGTCTCAGCACCACTTTTTTTTTTTCTGTTGGGATAACTCTAAGTTTCCAAGAATACGGGCCTTAGATCCCCCACAGCCAAGCTAACACTTGGCTGCAGCTTCTCACTGTCTCTGTAGCGAGCAAACCCCCCGTGGTAGCCGTGCTGACGGGGCCCCGGTGCCTGAGCTGGAAGCAGCGTGTTCAGCCCCTGGAGACGCTCCAGCTCTGGGCTGCACAGACACCCCCGTGAGCCGGGCCTGTGGGAGGCAGAGAGGGAAACTCTGGAGGAAAGCATGAGGGAGAACAAGGCCTGTAAGAGGCAGGGTACTTACTGCAGGGGCCTTCAGGGGAAGCTGAAGGATTCTCAGAAACCTCAGAGCTCAGCAGTTCTGTACTGCCAGTTTTCCCCACAAGACCGTGCTTTGTTTTCCAGGATTTTCGGATAACACACAAAAGGAATATTTCAACGCCTGAGAGAGGGAGGAAACGTGGGCACTCTGCAATGCCTCACAGACCCGCGGAGCTGAGGCAGAGATCTCCCGCTGTTGGTCAAGGACAGGAGAAAGGCTGGATGCCACAACACATCAGCAGTGAACACATCGGATCTCCGAGGTCGTCTGCAAGAGGCCTAAATGGAGCAGTGACTCAGAAGGAAAACATCCCTCTGGAGCAGGGAGCTGCAGGGGAGCAGGACGTGGACTCGGGGAGTCCGGGCAGCGCCTCGCTCACCTTCCTGTCCCATGAGTCACTTCAACATCAACAATAATTAAATGAGAGCCTGGATCTCTGGGGCAGCCAGCGGCAGACGCACAGCACAGCGATCTCCCTGGCAGCCTTGGCTGGTGCAGGACGTGCAGGGGCCTCCACTCACGCTGACCCGATGGGGCTCTGTGGTCGAGTTTGGGTCAGTGAATCCCCACAGAGCCCCCCAAGAGCAGCAGCAGAGGCCAGCGCGGGGTGGAGCTGCCCGTGCTGCCCCTCTGAAGGGCGTCTCAGGGGCCGCGGTGGGCAGGACCCACCCGGGGAGACCAGGGCTGGTGTTTGCCCACTCGGGCTGTCACCATCGGGGCAGCCTGGGCTCCGCGGGCGCAGGGGCTGCGTCCATGGGCGCCTTTGCTTCTCACAAGCCCTAAGAGCAGGAGCTTCCTCTTCTGGCTCGATTCTGAGCATCCAGCCCCTCCCTCTGATGCTCTTGGAGAGACTCCACAGAGCGCTGAGTGTGTTCAGAACAGACCCTGGGCCTGAGCAGAGCACGTGAGGCGTTTTGTGTTGAAAGCAGCGAAAAGGCCACCAGACACAGCCAAGTGACAACTGGGTTTGCTGCTCCAGGGAAGTGCTAGACCGTTTGCACTCCAGCGTGCTGCTGTTTGTCACGGGGGGCGGCAGCATTCCCAGGCTCCGTGGTGGCACCGTCCGCTGCGAC